TCATTTTTTCGCGAAAGCTTCAGAAAAGTGGATTGTGTCCGGATCCGGTTGTTTTGTTGTAATCCGTTTTCCCTTGCAAAAAACACTATAAAATGACATTCTTGTTCTAATATAATCAAATTTCAAGATCCCTTGCAAAAAATAAGGTAAAGTGGACATTCGCGCGCGCAAGACGAAATCCTTCCAAAACCTTAGTTTCGTAACGATTTTAACATAAAAACGTCAAAAACCCAATGGTTTTTTAAGAAAAAATTGTCAAAATGTCCTTCCGCGCGCGCTGTCCGAATCCCACAAAACCAATGGTTTTTCAACATTTATGTTACATGAGCTCGCGCGAGCTACTTTTTCTTGTTCTAACATAATCAAATTTCAATAATCCCTTGCAAAAAATAAGGTAAAGTGGACATTCGCGCGCGCAAGACGAAATCCTTCCAGAACCTTAGGTTTCGTAACGATTTCAACATAAAAACATCAAAAACCCAATGGTTTTTCAAAAAAAAATGTCCAAATTTCATCCCGCGCGCGCTGTCCGACTCCCACAAAACCAATGGTTTTTCAACATTTATGTTACATGAGCTCGCGCGAGCTACTTTTTCTTGTTCTAACATAATCAAATTTCAATACTCCCTTGCAAAAAAAAGTAAAGTGGACATTCGCGCGCGCAAGACCAACAAAAAACACGACGATCTCAGGAACTTGCCCCAAAAATGTGACCAACTCCGCTCTCTCTGTCTCTCTCTCTGTCTGCTCTCTGTCTCTCTCTCTGTCTGTCTGTGTCATGTATTGTATGTCACAATTGCAGGATGCTGGGCACACGCGCGCCCCGAATAAGTGACCAAGTTCTGTGGGTGTGTACCCCACGCCAGTGTAGTAGCCACGGTCGTCCGCACGCCACGAAGTGAAGTGTCCCAACGTCATAGGGCGGGAAGCTGGGTTTGGGTGGTCGCGAAGAGTCGTTTGGATATTTGGTAGAGCTTGAACTGCCCCCCCACGAAGTGGGGGTATTGTCTCGCGTCGCATGAAAACCCTGGCACTGGTGAGAACACTGAGCGTTCGGGTAAAATGATTGTTGTTGTTGTTGTTGTTGTTGTTGTTGTTTGTTGCTGTCGTCGTCCCACCCGCGACCCGCCCCGCGACCCACCCGCGACCCACCACGACCCACCCGCGACCCACCCGCGACCCACCCCGCGACACACCTCGCGACCCACCCCGCGACCTACCCGTGACCCACACGCGACCCACCCGCGACCCACCCGCGACCCATCCCGCGACCCGCCCGCGACCCACACCGAGACCCCCCCCGACGACCTACCCGCGACCCACCGGCGACCCACCCGCGACCCACCCCGCGACCCACCCCGCGACCCGCCCGCGACCCACACCGAGACACCCCCCGACGACCCACCCGACCCACCGCGACCCACCCCGCGACCCACCCAAATTTTCGGCGTTTTGCGGCGGGTTTCTTGTGCATTCGTTCCAGGTGAGAACTTGCGACCCAAACCGCGCCCGCGACCCACCCGCGACCCACCCGCGACCCACCCCGCGACCCACCCAAAATTTTCGGCGCCTGCGGCGGGCTTCTTTTGCATTCGTTCCAGGTGGAGAACCTGCGACCCACCCGCGACCCAAACCGCGCCCGCGACCCACCGCGACCCACCCGCGACCCACCCGCGACCCACCCCGCGACCCACCCAAAATTTTCGGTGCCTGCGGCGGTCTTCTTTTGCATTCGTTCCAGGTGGAGAACTTGCGACCCATCCGCGACCCACACCGCGTTCAGTATACAAATCAAAATTTTCGGCGCCTGTGGCGGGCTGTTTTTGAATGCGTTCCAGGTGGAGGTGGAGAGCCCGCGACCCACCCGCGACCCAAACTACGTTCACTGAACAAGCCAACAAATTCGGCGCTTGCGGCGGGCTGTTTTTGCATTCGTTCCGGGTGGCCCACCAGCGATCCCTCCCGCGCTGAGCTTGTCAGAGCACGCAAATCGGCGCCTGCGGCGGGCTTGCTCGAATTGGTTTGGGAAAGCGCTCTCGTGCCATTCCCCCGATCCGGCCCACGTTGACTCTACAACAGCACATCGGCGCCTGCGGCGGGGCTGTGTCTGAACACGTTCATTGACAATCCAGATGCCTGCTGCCGCAGAGGAGGGGAGGAGGAGCAGGGCGAGGAGCAGGAGCAGGAAGACAACGACGACGACGACGACGACGACGACGACGACGAGTACAAGGACGAAGAGGAGGCCGACGACGAGGGCGAGGAGGAAAAGGATGGGGGGACGGAGGGGGACGATGAGAAAGGATAGAGGAGGAGGGGGAGGAGGAGGATGACGACGACGACGGAAAGCAGGAGGGGGGAGGATCGGGATGGGGGAGGAAGAGGAGGAGGAGGAAGAGGAGGAGGAAGAGGAGGAGGAAAAGGAGGAACAAGGAGGAAGAGGAGGAGGAGGAGGAGGAGAGGAGGAGGAGGTGGAGGAGGAGGAGGGGGAGGCGGACGACGACGACGATGAGGACGATGACGCGGACGAGGAAGAAGAGGAGGAGGAGCAGGAGGAGGAGGAGGGCGCCATCGACGGGGAAGGTGAGGGCCACGAGGTCCGCCGGCTCGACGCCCGCGTCGCCCGCGCCCGCCCCCTCTTTCTTATTCGCAATTGCGGGGTGCTACGTTAGATTCCTGTTGATTATAGCAAAGCTAGAAAACATCCATCTTCCCAGCATGTTTTGAGAATTTATCATTTCAATCCTGGCCCCCACTGATGGGTGTGCCCATGCCACCGGCGCGTGCATGAGGAGAGGGGGGGGCGGGGGAAACGAACGAGGTAAGGGTTGAGTCAGGGTCGCTACGCGCAAACTGGGCCTGTAGGCCGTCACTCGCCCTGTCAGCAAGGTGGCCGAGGAGGCCTGCAAGTTGGAACGGACTCGCGCGTCGCGCCGGTGGGTTGGCGCCGCGTGCTGGGGTTTGGCGGTTCACCCCAGCAACCTCCACGGATCCCAAAGAATGCAAGCGCGCAGACCCAGGAACATTTTTGTTGGTCCAGCCGTGCTTCTTGGCAACTCTTTCCGGGTCAAGCACCGTAACCTTGTTGGCCAGAGGGGCTTGGCGGCAGGCTCGGGCGGCAGTTGGTTACGGCCGGAGGGGCAGGGCAGTTCAAAGTTGCGGGCTTGGCCTCGGTGCTCTGGGCCTCGAGGACGGGAGAGAGGCGCTGGCGCGGCGTGCGAGGGAGAGCTGTGGAAAGAGGGGGGACGTGTGCAAAGAGGGAGAGGTGTGTAAAGAGGGGGGGGGAAGGCGAGGCCGCGTGGGTGGTAGCTGCGCTGGCGCGGCGTGCGCCTTGGGCCGCGGCCGCCCTCTGGTCCTGTCCATGGCGTCTGGCGGCTCGGCCCCGCCCTCCCCGTGGTGCATCCGTCCCCTCCGCCACAAGAGTCGAAGAAGAAGAATAACAACAAACAAGTAGAAGAATCAGAAGAAGAAACGCACAAACATAAACATACATTGGGATCTGCGCTGGGGCCACCTGGCGGCGCCTCCGGCGCCGCCCCTGGCGCGCTCCGCGCGCCAGGGAGGGGGTCCAGCGCAAATCCAAGAAATCCGCGCGGACCGTCGAAAGTTTATGTTTATGTGTGTTTCTCTTGCTCTAAAGAGTAAGAATGTGCAGGTCAGCTGACCCTGAGTGCAAGTGAGCGTCGGAGGAGCGCTGTTGTCTTCGCGCCTGCGCGGGGTGGGCAGAGGCGGGGGGCTCTGGACGACCGTTATCCTCACGCCCCTTACTGGCGAAGTCTCAGGATGGTGCAAGG